AATCGGCTTCAAATTTTGGGAAATTTTTTTTTATTTTATTGGAACTAAACTGGGGGGTGGCGTAAACAAAATTCGAAAGTCGCATTGTTACGGACACCCTATTGTGCACGTTTGTACGCTCGCTTCATATTCCGCCTCGCTACGGAGTTTAATTCCGCGGTACGCGCTCCCACTAAAGTCGAAATATCTCGAGAACTATTAGAGTCTCCATAAATTTTTTTTTATGAAATGAAAGGTGAAATTACAAGGAATCGATATTTACTTATTAGAAAATTCAAAAATTAGGCCAACTGAACTAAAAATTAATTCAAAAAATTTTTTTGACTTTTTTTTTGACAAATTTTGGAAATTTTTTTTTGTTCATAATATCAAATTAAACTACGTATTTTTAACTATATCGCCTGTAAATTTTATTAAAATCGATCAAAAAGTTTCAGAGTTATTAATTTTTGAAAAAAACGCAACACTCATTTTCAATATAGCGTAGCGGCCGCCATTTTGAAAATTTTTCAAAATCCTTTTAGGGTTAAATTTAATTCATATAAGACTTCTATTTTCCAAGGTTTCGAAGAAATCGGAAGACCACTTGCAAATCGCTTTTTTTCTGACGGAGTCTTACCCTTCAATATTATATATATATATTTGATTTCCATACTGAGTATTGAAATTATCTCCAAAATTGTGCTAAAATGAAAATATTATTTATTTAACAAATTTTAGCGCAAGTTCATGAATTTTCAAGTCCGCTTAATTATATGTATATATACACTTGGAAAATAGGGACTAAACGTATCCATGTTTAAATTATATAGTTAATTTAATAATTATTTTCAGCTCCATTTCCGGTTGAAATCTCTATATCCACTTTAGGAGTCTATCTGTAACCATTAATTAATTAATAAATCAAGAATCCTTTGGACTTAACTAAAAGCCAGTGGTGGATAGAGACCTCTACCCACTACAGAAGCTGTCTACAGCCACTAATTAATTAATTAGCTGATTACTTAGACCAAGGTTGAGAAAGTAATTTTGAGAGCAAAATTTCTAAAGTGAACGAATATCTATTCAAAAATTAGAAATTTTTTTTTAATTTTCCTTCTTGATCGTTTAGATACGAAAATGAAATATTTTCTTTATTTCTATAATTATTAATACTATTTTGGATACTAGTTTTAATTTTATTCAATTTGAAAATATTTTTATTTCGAGTACTTTTTTACAAATGTTTTTCCACCACTGAAAATTATTATTATTTCAGTAACAGTTTTTCTGAATAGTAATTTCAATTTTTTATAGTCGCAATTTTTTATTCAAACCAAAAGCAAAATTGGTTATAAATTGATCTTGTTGCTTATATACACCTCTTCATGTATTTGAATATAAATACATACCACTTTTTAATATTCAGAATACATATTCAATTTTCTTTCCCTTTTATTTATTTTCAGTATTTATTTATTTTCAAGTTTTCTATTTTTTTTCTTCTTTTCCTATTTTGCATGATTTACAGAAGGCGATTGGACTATATTTACAGAATACATCTTTTAATATTTACCCAATGAATGAAAACAATTCTCCACAGTATTTGCAAATAAATAATATCGACACAAATTGAAACGTTCAATAAAAAACATTTATTTCTCTATTTTAATGCATTTACATAATTTTCAAAAACTAAAAAAAAAAAGAATCACATCGCAATCTTTATAAATGTAAATGACAAAGAAGAAAATTTTCAATGTTTCTTAAAATTGTTTTTGTTGTGCAAATTTTTTTAAATAATTTCATAATCAAAATTTAAAAAAATTCACTTGTTATAAGTACCAAATTAATTATTACTGTTCATATTTTCAAAAGTTTTAATACAATTTTACGAAAGAATTCAATTATTTTCCAAAATTTTAAAAAATCCATCTAAACAATAAAATTCAATTTTTTTTAAATAGTAAAATCTCTTTACAAAAATTCAATTATTTTAAAAAAAATTTTAATACATTTCGAAAAAATTCAATTTTTTTTTATAATTTTAATAAATCCTTCGAAAATTTAAAAAAAATTGAAAAAATTCAATTATTTTTATAAATAGTAAAATTTTTCACAAGAATTCAATTAATTTTATAAATAGTAAAATTTTCTGCAAGAATTCAATTATTTTCAAAACAATTTTAATTGAATTCCTCGGATGAATTCAAATATTTTCAAAATATTTCCCTAGATTTCAATTATTTCCTAAAATTGTAATAAATTCTTCGAAACCATTCGACTATTTTTATAAATACTATAATTGTTTGGAGGAATTAAATATTTTTTAATACAATTTAAATAAAATTACACGAAAGATTTTAATTATTTTCAAAATTTTTCCATAAAATTCAATTTCAACAAGAATTTAAAATTGTCTAAAAATAATTCAATTATTCTCAAGATATTTTTAAAAAATTCTACATCAAAATTAAATTACTTTCAATGCAATTTTTAAATATATTCATCAAAAATATTGAAAGAATTCAATTGTTTTCAAAAAATAATAAAATTCTTGTGATAAATTCAATTATTTTAAATATACTTAATTTTAATAAAATTCTTTAAAGAAATTCCATTATTTTAAAAACAACTCTAATTGAATTTCTCAAAAAAATATCATTATTTTTAAATATTTCTATAAAATTCTTCATAACAATTTAATTATTTCTTAAAAAATGTTAATAAAAATAAAATTCTAATAAATTCTTCGAAACTTTTCAATTATTTTTATTAATAGTAAAATCTTTACAAAAATTCATTTATTTTAAAAACAATTTTAATTAAATTCCTCGGAAGATTTCAATTTTAAGAAAAAAATTTAACACATTTCAAAAAATTCAATTTTAAAAAAAATTTTAACACATTTATAAAAATTCAATTTTAAAAAAAATTTTAACACATTTATAAAAATTCAATTTTTTTCTAAAATTTTAATAAATCCTTCGATAAAATTCAATTATTTTTATAAATAGTAAAATTCTTCACAAGAATTCAATTAATTTTATAAATAGTAAAATCCTTTGCAGAAATTCAATTCTTTTCAAAACAATTTTAATAGAATTTCTCGAAAGAATTTAAATTTTCAAATATTAAAAAAAAAAAAAAAAAAAATATAATAAATAAAAAATATAATTAATATATAATAATAATAATATTATAATATAAATATAATTTCTAAAATTTTAATAAATTTTTCGAAACAATTCAATTATTTTTTATAAATAATAAAATTCTTCGCAAGAATTCAATTATTTTCAATACAATTTTAATAAAATTCTTCTTCATAAAATTCAATTACTTTCAAAATTTTCAATTAGAATTATTAAAAAAACTCCATTAGTTTAAAAAAAATTCAAAGATCTTCTTCAAAAGAATTTAATTAGGATTTTTAAAAATTTTAATAAAATTCTTCACGAGAATTCAGTTATTTTCCTAAATAATAAAATTCTTTGAAGAAATTCTATTATCAAATTTTTTGATATAAAATTCTTTGCAATAATTCAATGATTTTCAATACATTAATTTTAAAATTGAAAATATTTGGAAAGAAAAATTACCTACAATAAAAAAGTTAAGAAACAAAAAAGCAAACAACAGTTAATGATTCTGCAAAAATTCTATTTGATTCATTTCGTTTGTGAGAGAATTCTCATGCCATCTAGGCGGCAAATTAATGAACTTTTGGCGCGAAATTCAAAAAAAGAAAAATTCCTTAAATTACATTCTTTTAAATGAATTTTAAAATCTCTCAATTTTTAATTTTTGACAAAAAGAAAAATCCAAACTGGGTGAGAATATTTTCTGACCATTGATTTCCTCTCCAAAAAATTTCTATATAGAAATAATTTTATCGAATTATTAAGATTTAAATTATTTTCTTGATATAGTTAAAAATTTAGTCGAAGTCTCCCCTTAAATGAGCACAAATGAAAATGCAATGAATAGCAAAATAAATTATGCATTATGGTTATTATTGAAAAAAAGAAAAGAAGAAAAAAAAGTGAAAAGATACTGAAAAAAGTGTTTTTCCTTTTTGATTATAAACGTTTCTATTTTTTTTTTTTGCTTTTGATATATTTTTGAAAAGCTTCGACAGTGATTTTCTCCTTTCTTTATATTATTTCCCCTCCCCCTTGGATAATATGCTTTCGAGAGTTCCTTTTTATCCATAGCTCTCAGGAATTTGAGAGATAGTTCTATGCTAATCAGTCGTGCGAATGATACTATATTCGATTGGATCTTCTTCTGAATGCGAGCATTCCTATTCAGAAATCGCTGTCTTCTCGCTACGATACATCACTGATTATCAGTATCGACATCAAGAGCGCGAGCATTTCCACCCACACACACACACACAGCTTTCCTATATTCATATAAGAGAAAGCATAAAAGAAAATGGAATAAGCTATACATACTATGTTCAGATTCTGTTTTTATATTATGTACGCATAACAAAAGGAAATTTTTCAAGTAACATTTCTCGTCATTGAAACCATTAAACAACCAGAAAAGAAAAAGGCAGAAATTATCACAAAAAAAAATTTGTAATTAATGACATTTTTTTTTAAATTGAAAAATAATTTTCTATCTTTCTAAATACAGTTTTTCTATAAGGATATCAAATTGAAAAAGCAGATCAAAATTGTTCGATGCAACAAATTTTTATCCGATTTTTGTCTCAATTTGATATCCTAAGAAAAACTGTGAATTCACTCAGTGATCACTTTTGATCTGAATTGTAATTTTAAGTACCAAATTAATTTTAAGTTCTAAAAAATTGTAATTTTTAAGTACTACTAAATTAGTCTTCAGTATAATTTCTATCAAATTATACTTCTATTTCGTTATAAATAATATAACGAATAGATGCACAAAAAATAAATTAGTAAAACAGAAAATAATCAAAAAGACAATTTTTTATGTAAAAGAAAAATTTGCCATTATTTTTATTAAAAAATATACTTCCTACTGTTAAATACAATATAAATTGTCAAAAAGAAAACCCCCATATTACTCAGACGGGAAAGTTTATCATTCACCTATATACATACACAGATTCTTTCCAAAAATTTCAGCAAAAAAAAAAAAAAAAAAACTCGTAATTTATTGAGTATTGAGTATTGAAGATGTTGCAGATTCTTTTTCATTTGTATTTCGAGGCGAGCATATATCGATTATTTTTTCAAGACTTCGCAATTGTTCTTGAATAAATTTCACGTAACCCCAACGAAATTTTTTTAACAATTTAACATTATCGGAATTATTCTCTTGAAAATTATACAAGTTCTGAGTAAATGACTGACAGTAATCACCTTGAAGCGCACGGGTTACCTCGAAACACATTTCTTGCCACGATGCTGAATTCTTGTTTAGGTCAACCTGATAAAAAACACAGTTGATATATATATAATACGTTACATAAACATTAAATGTTAATTAGGGGAGAGTGGGGCAAAGGCGCTATGCGGGGCAAAGACGTTTTTTAAAATATCTCCTTTATTTTCTGTCTATTCCAATTGGTATTAAAAATTAAGTTGCAATGCAATCAGACGAATTGATCAAAAAAAGAAAAACCTAAAAATAACAACTATTTTAAGAAATATAACAAAGAAATTGTTTTGCAAAAATAAAATGTTAATTTTACTGAACAAACTCTTATTTTTTAAAACATAAGTTTAAGTATTTAATTTTTAAAAACATAACATGTAAATAAATTAAATATTTCTCTACACAACTGGCGTGGTGTTTTAGTTTAATTTTGTTTCTAAATATTTTAAATTTAAAGTAAAAAATAAGTTTGTTATTTATGTGGGGCAAAGGCAATATTGAACATAATTTGGTTAAAAACAATTGAATATTCGAATTTTCTCCTTATTAATTCACAATATAAGGTTAAAATCACTAAAAAATTTTATTTTTTATTTAAATAGTCCAATTCTTTTAAAAATATGTAGTTAACCTTATGTTTCGTAAATATTATACTAATAAATATCACTTGTTAATTTTTTTAAGGCTTATAAATGCTTTCTTTTAGAAATATAAGTGAAAACATCGCTGCCCCAGCGTGTGGGACAAAGGCATTTTTTGCATTGTTTTTAAATTTCATTAAATAATATGTGGACGTCCGCATGAAAAAGGACCACTTTGGCACTATTGGACTTATCTATATGGGCGAATTCCTGACAAAATTTGGAAAATTTTGAGTGGTCTTACAACCTTTTTGGTGAAAAATTCGATGAGTTACAGAATTTTAAAGTTTGGAGTATCAAATACGTCATTTCGAGAAAAACGAAATCAAAGATTGTAATATGAATATCTTTAGTTCTTCTGGGAAGTTATTCAGATAATAGTTGTTTTAAGTCTAGTACACCCTTAAGATTGAAAATCAATAGGTTTCGAATTTCCCCCCCCCTCATTTTTTAACAATGACAAAATAATGGATCTCCGACAAAGTGGTCCCTTTTCTAAAAATACGGTTATTAATTAATAAAGCGGAATATTTAACGAATTTAAAGGTTCGGTGTTATTTTTTAAAGTTATTTCAAGAAAAGAAAAGAAAAGTAGTCTAAAAAAATTTGTTAAGCGACTTTATTATAAAAAATCTTAGAAAAAATTAAAAATTCCTTTTCCAAAAACACGAAATTAAAAATTGTAACGCGAATTTCTCCGGCTCTTCTGGGAAGTTATTCAGATAAGAGTTGTTTTAAGTCTAGTACACCCTTAAGATTGAAAATCAATAGGTTTCGAATTTTTCCCTCCCTTCGTTTTGAAACAATGAAAAAATAACAGATTTCCGACAAAGTGGTCCCTTTTCATTTTTTTTTTCTAACAACAAAATAAAATACTTAGAGTGTCAATAAATTAATAAAAACTGCATGAATCGACGTGGTAGACCCTGTAGATTAAGAAAAAAAGATAAAAAAAATTTTGATATTTTTCTTCAAAATTAGTAAATTGCGAATATCTCGGAATCTAGAACCGACAAAGTGGTCCCTTTTCATGCGGACGTCCACATATATTTACAATTAGGGTAAGTGCGGGTATAGTCGGACAGTACTAGTAGTCGGACACTTTCATGTTTTTTGGCAAATAAATAATAATGCATTGTGATATTTACTTAAAAAAATATACTGGACGAATGTGTAAAGTTTATATTTTATGAAATTAGTGTTATTTTACAAAATAATTAAACAATAAATATTTTATTTAATATTTTAATAATAGTGGTGTCCGACTATAGATACAACCATTTTCGAGTAGCGCAATGAGTAGCACAAAGTTTTGCTAATAATTAATCATAAATTTTAAAACTTATACGATTTAAATATTATATTAATAACTTCTAGTATGGTTTAATTCCATTTTCCAGCCGATAGCAATTAAAAAATTATCTGTTTTACTTTATAAATCAAAAATATCTGACAGATGTCCGACTATAGAAACAAGGAAAAAAAGTGTCCGACTACTAAAGCATTCGTAATTTTTCATTAAAATGTTTATATTTTATTAAATACTCAAGTATTTGTAACAAATTTACATGATTTTTAATCCTGAAGAACTCATTTAATTGATCATGTGCTTATAAACACAGTAGATATTTGCTATTTCAAGAAAAAAAGCATAATATAAGATCGTATCCTTAAGTGTCCGACTACTAGTGCATTTACCCTATAATATACTAAATAACAACTATTAAAATTTCTTGTTGATTAGTTTTAGAATAATGAAAAACAAAAACCGCATAAATTTATAGCTTAATTTAAAAAATATACATCGATAAATGTAAACCTAGCATCTTTGCCCCACTCTCCCCTACTTCATATATTTTTGCTTCCTCATAAAGGAAGCCTTATAGTGATGTCGATTTCCGAATTTTTTAGAATCAATTATTTTTACAAATTTTCAAGTGTAGTATATATAATTCGTCGAGAGGAACAAATGTCCGGATGTATGTGTGTATGTATGTGTGTGTGTGTGTGTGTATGTATGTCACCGATTCTTGTGGACAAATTTTCTCTTACACGTCTTGACGGATTTTGATAAAATTTTGTAGGTGTATTACGGTCACGAATACCAAAAATCAGACAAAAGGATTTTCAAAAATATCTAAAAAAAAAAATTTTTTTAACAATTTTTTAATTTTTGAAAAAATTAATTTTTGGATTTTTTGAAATAACTTTTTTCTATATTAAAATTTTTATCAATTCTTGTCAAAATTGCATTCCTGACATAAAAACGAATCGATTCATGTATATAAAGTATATATTTTATCAAAATTTATATAATTAATAAATATTTTAATTTTTCACAAAAAATTGAAATTTTGTATTTTTTGACATTTTATCATAACACTTTAAAATAATTATTCTAAAATAAAAAATTAAACAATTGGTATATATTATATTGAGGAAGCTTAATGATCATGAAATGAACAACTTGTAATAATATATTTTAGTAGTAGCACCCTCACCCGAACGCCTTCAGACAATCAAAATTGGTAAAAACGAAAATAAAAATTTATTTTATCCAAATTTATTTAATCTAATCATCTGAAAATTACCAGAGTTCAAGTAGGGACTGAACTCTACACAATCCTGAAGAATAGAGAATTTTATTTGAATTTTTTAGTAGTAGCAGGTCCACCCGTACCCCATCAGACAATCAAAATTTGGTAAAAACGAAAATAAAAATTTATTTTATCCAAATTTATTTAATCTAATCATCTGAAAATTACCAGAGTTCAAGTAGGGACTGAACTCTACACAATCCTGAAGAATAGAGAATTTTATTTGAATTTTTTAGTAGTAGCACCCTCACCCGAACGCCATCAGACAATCATAATTTGATAAAAACGAAAATAAAAATTTATTTTATCCAAATTTATTTAATCTAATCATCTGAAAATTACCTGAGTTGTAGTAGGGACTGAACCCTACACAATCCTGAAGAAGAGAGAATTTTATTTGAATTTTTTAGTAGTAGCACCCTCACCCGAACGCCATCAGACAATCATAATTTGATAAAAACGAAAATAAAAATTTATTTTATCCAAATTTATTTAATCTAATCATCTGAAAATTACCAAAGTTCTAGTAGGGACTGAACTCTACACAATCCTGAAGAATAGAGAATTTTATTTGAATTTTTTAGTAGTAGCAGGTCCACCCGTACCCCATCAGACAATCAAAATTTGGTAAAAACGAAAATAAAAATTTATTTTATCCAAATTTATTTAATCTAATCATCTGAAAATTACCAGAGTTCTAGTAGGGACTGAACTCTACACAATCCTGAAGAATAGAGAATTTTATTTGAATTTTTTAGTAGTAGCAGGTCCACCCGTACGCCATCAGACAATCAAAATTGGTAAAATCGAAAATAAAAATTTATTTTTTCTAAATTTAACAAATCTAATCATCTGAATATTACCAGAGTTCTAGTAGGGACTGAACTCTACACAATCCTGAAGAATATAGAATTTTATTTCAATTTTTTAGTAGTAGCACCCTCACCCGTACGCCATCAGACAATCAAAATTTGGTAAAAACGAAAATAAAAATTTATTTTATCCAAATTTATTTAATCTTATCATCTGAAAATTACCTGAGTTGTAGTAGGGACTGAACTCTACACAATCCTGAAGAATAGAGAATTTTATTTGAATTTTTTAGTAGTGGCAGGTCCACCCGTACGCCATCAGACAATCAAAATTGGTAAAAACGAAAATAAAAATTTATTTTTTCCAAATTTATTTAATCTAATCATCTGAAAATTACCAGAGTTCTAGTAGGGACTGAACCCTACACAATCCTGAAGAATAGAGAATTTTATTTGAATTTTTTAGTAGTAGCACCCTCACCCGAACGCCATCAGACAATCAAAATTTGGTAAAAACGAAAATAAAAATTTATTTTATCCAAATTTATTTAATCTAATCATCTGAAAATTACCTGAGTTGTAGTAGGGACTGAACCCTACACTATCCTGAAGAATAGAGAATTTTATTTGAATTTTTTAGTAGTAGCACCCTCACCCGTACGCCATCAGACATTCAAAATTTGGTAAAAACGAAAATAAAAATTTATTTTATCCAAATTTATTTAATCTAATCATCTGAAAATTACCAGAGTTCTAGTAGGGACTGAACCCTACACAATCCTGAAGAATAGAGAATTTTATTTGAATTTTTTAGTAGTAGCACCCTCACCCGAACGCCATCAGACAATCAAAATTTGGTAAAAACGAAAATAAAAATTTATTTTATCCAAATTTATTTAATCTAATCATCTGAAAATTACCTGAGTTGTAGTAGGGACTGAACCCTACACTATCCTGAAGAATAGAGAATTTTATTTGAATTTTTTAGTAGTAGCACCCTC